CAACAAGCGGGATTGGCCTAGGGAATTTTAGTGGGGTTTTTAAGGGAAATTTTAATTATTAGGCCATTACAAATATTTCCTTTTAATTTGGTTTTAAATTGATATTTATTGTAATATTGGTTTTATAAGGCTGTCAGCCGCCCTGAGTCCGGTAAGGAGAAGGGCGGGATACAAATCAAATAAATAATAATAATAATAAAGAGGAAAGAGAGAAAGAAAGAGAGGGGGAGAGGAAAGAGAAAATGAGGAAAGAGAAAAAAGATTGAGAAAAGAGAGAGGAAAGAGAAAGGAAAGGGAAGAGAAAGAGAGGAAAGAGAAAGAGAGGAAAGAGGAAAGAGAAAGAGAGGAAAGAGAAAGAGGAAAGAGGAAAGAGAGAGACAGAGAAAGAGGAAAGAGAGAGAGAGAAAGTTAGAGGAAAGAGAAAGAGGAAAGAGAAAGAAAGAGAGAGAGAGAGGAAAGAAAGGAAAGAGAGAGAGAGGAGAGAGAGAGACCCTTTTGACATCTAAAATGAAGATAATACTGCATATATCCTTTTTTACCTTTATTTTATATAACACACACAAACACACACACACACACACACACACATATCATAAAGGTAAAAATGGATATATGCAGTCTTATCTTCATTTTAGATATCAAAAGGGTTTTGCGGCTCCCAGTGTTTTGTTTTCAGTGGGAAACATGTCCAAGTGGCTCTTTGAGTGTTTTGGGTTGCCTACCCCTGATATAGCCCAAACTCTATATTTTAACTGGAAAAGTTGGGGGTCGTCTTATACGCCCAGTCATCTTATACGCCGGAAAATACGGTAATTATTTAACATTTTGTCCTTTCAGAAAAATTGTACAACTCAAATGGACGTGAGTTAAGGCGGGCCCTCTTCTCCTTGAAACAGATATTTCAAGTAAGTGAACATTACCTCTTAATATAAATTTTGTTTTTTCAGAAACTAATGTATTCATTATTATTGCTGGGGGAGAGGTGTTATTATTTTGCCACACCGTTAATAGAGAAAATTTCTAGGCATAATATTTTTATCTGCTTTTTTATTATTTATTATTATTGCTTCTTAATGTCTTTCTCCAACCACACTTAGGATAATTCACAGAATGTTTCAAAGAAGCTTTTAAGTAATTCCTGAGGAAGCAGGGGCATCTGCAGAAGACCCAGATGAGCAATCAATATGGCAGCCACAACTAGGCAGTGAAAACCTATCCCATTTTACACAAGGCACATGCAAGAAAAGGATATAATTTCATCATGTGATTGTAGCACTATCTTAATTTTTTTGACCCAGCTTCAACAAGGAAAATAAATTCAGTGAAAAAAACCTCCATATGTTCTTAACATAAATAGGAAACTTCTTAATTTTATTTAGTATGTAGTGTGGAAATGTGGGAAAAGTATGAAAGGACTAATGAGTAGAGATTTACAAATTGTGAGATTTCTTTATTGTGTCACAAAATAAAAATCAGAATCATCACAATTTTTAAATAAATAAATAATGTTTCTGTTACTTTACAATGCCACTGTGTTGTAAAGTTACTACTTTCATGCACAAAAGCAGATGGATCATTTGGAATTTATTACGGATTTCTATGCAATGTTGTTGAATCCTAAGGTCTTCTTTATGCCATGACAAGTTGTGTGTAAAACTCAAAAAATGATATATGAATCATAAGCCCATTCACATACATACATGCATATGTCCAAAGTATGTTTTATTTTTATACGTAATATGAGCAAAACCAAAGTCATAAGAATTACAAAACTATACACTTGAAAAGGTTCCATTCGGCCATTGAATCCGAGTTTCCATTCCATACCAGATAGATGGCTGTCTGGCCTCTACTTGGACATCTCTGGAGTGCATGTCTTTGACTAATTAGCTTCACCCAGAATTTCTTCTTACAGATAGAGAAGATTTTATTTTATTGTTTCATAACATTTGATTATATTCTGTCTTGTTCTAAGCTAATTCCATTGTTCTGGATCTTGCTTTTTGGAATAAAAGAGAAAGTGTCTTGACATTCTTGGGGTACTAGAAAATGTTATCATTTCTTCTCTCAGTCATCTCTTCAAGGCCCTTACTCTTTCAATCTCTCTCCACAGCACTTTATTTCCTTTATCATCTTGATACTCTTTACTGCCCTTTTCTGTGAATCTCTCTTAAAATATAATGATTGCAAGGAATAATATGTTTTGGTACCTTGAATACATTGAAAGAATGGGAAACTATTTCTTTGGGTATTTGCTCCCATGGCTGAATTGCTCATTATGATTGGAAGTTTCTTCCTAATATTCCATCATATCCCTTCCTATTATTTAAACGCATTATTCTGTGTACTCCACTGAAGGGCAACAAGTCTTGGCCTTTTTCAGATAATTGAAAAGTGCCATATTCCCTCTTATTTTTTTTCCTTAAAATATACTCAGCTCCTTCAGTCTTCTGCATAGGATTTAATTCAAGTCATCCTCATTGGATTTAATTCAAATCATCCTCACTGGTTGTATTTCATTGAATCCTCCTTAAAATGTGGTGCCCAAACTGGAAATGAACCTAGGAATAACAAAAGAAAAGTATTTTTTCCCAGTTATATAGAATAGAATGGAATGGAATCAAATTGAATTGAAGCATAGAGCTGGAAGGAACCTCCAAGGTCTTCTAGTTCAACCCCCAGTCCAAGGCAAAAGACCTTATATAATCCCGGACAAATAGTTGTCAGTTGATATAGCCTATATTTGCATTTTGTTTCTTTTGCTGCTACCATAAATTACTAATTCATAGGCATGTCATCAATACCATTACTAACAAAGGTATCCCAATATATACCTGATAATTTTCAGCCATTTCTTTAACCTAGAGCAGTGGTGGCGAACCTATGGCACGGGTGCCAGAGGCGGCACTCAGAGCCCTCTCTGTGGGCACGCATGCCGTCGCCCCAGTCCTAAACCTTTTCGCTTTAGGCCTCCGCCGCTGTGTGCAAAAAAAAAAAAGTTCAATCAGTCAGTCAATTTCAACTTCTTGCGGGAAAAAAAGATCTTGCAAAGTTGGAATTGATTGAACTTTTTAGTCCCACCCAGTCTGCCGTTATCACCGCAGCCACGTCCACCCAATGGGCCACACCCACCCAATGGGCCACACTCAGCCGGCACTCAACGATGCATAAGTGGGTTTGGAGTTGCAGTTTGGGCACTCGGTCTCTAAAAGGTTCGCCATCACTGACCTAGAGCATTTTATATTTCAAGTATGTCGTCCAGATCATAAGCGATCCCATCTAAAGTTATGTCTTCTGAAAGATTGATTAACATTCTTACACCTTTTCATCTTAGTCCTAAATATGTTATACATATTTATACATATACACACAGAGAGAGACATATGCACACACACATATAAAGGAATTTTGTGATATTCCATCTAATTTGCCTTTCAAGTTTGATAGGCTATAATTGATCATCATTCTTTAAGCATCATTTTAAAGCTAACTGTGCAGTCCACTAATTGTTAAATGCTACCCAGTTTATACTTAATTATTTCTATTTTTATTTATTAAATTTTTATGCTGCCCATCTCCCCTAAAAACGTACGTCTTTATTCACTTGCTAATCAAAATATTCTTTTTATTTGAAATGTTCTTTTGAATGCTTTGTTGAACTGATGAATCACACAAAAATCAAGAAACCATATAAAGTTAATTGACAAGAATTCTTCCTGGCAGATCCATGCTGACCTGGTAATAATCAAATTGCTTTCAAGTTTATTACAGATCAATCTCCTTATTATCTGCTCTAGAATAATCTCAGATACCAATGAAAGCCTGAGTCTTCTGTGGTTCTTCAGATCTTCCACTTTCCATTGTTTGAAGAAAGAAACCACATTTGCTCTACAGTCATCTGGCACTTTAGGAGTTCTCCAGGATTTCTGAAAAGTAATATATAAAATTTGACCCAAACAATCAAGTGGATCCATTCAATGCTCTAAGATGCAATTCATCTGACTCTGGAAATATAAACTTATTTCAAATAAACCAGTGGTTCTCAACCTTTCTAATGCCGTGACCCCATAATACAGTTCCCCATGTTGTGGTGACCCCCAACCACTTATACATCGCCGGGTGCCAGGGGCGTGGCCACCAAGTGGGCATGGCCACCAAGTGTTTGTTATGTTTCCTATGATTTACCATTCTCTGTGTTGTTCTATTTACAAACCCAGTGTTTCTCAACCTTGACAATTTTATGGCATGTGAACTTCAACTCCCAGAACTTCATAGCCAGCAATCATCAACTCCATGGGAGGAGTCTTACTCCTTTGGTGGAAAATCAACTCTACTATCCTGGGAAAGAAACCAGGCTCATGCAATTCAGATTTTGAGCCAGAGATCTGAGACCATGAGAAAACACAAGTCCATATTTAGGTGGCCACATAACTGATTATTCATCATGATTTGGGAGCCCAAGATGCACCACCCAATCTCAGGGAGTGTAGGTAGAATCTGCCCAATATTTGCTGAAATACATTGCACTCAGATTTCATTCTGTGAATGAAATATTAAAAAGGAAAAGAGCAGAAGAAATCAACTTTTATTCCCCATTTTCAAACCATCTTCCTGGAAGTCATAACATGTAATTAAGCACTTCGACAAAGTAATTACTCCATTATTTGAGTAGGCAATCAATTAAGAAGTTGCACCATGTAAAGAAAGAAAAGAAAATTAAACAAAAGAAAAGGAAAGGAAAGGGGACAAGAGGACAGGACAGGACAAGGAACAAGAGAAGAGGAAAGGAGAGGGGGAGGAGAGGAGAAAAAGAAAAAAGGAAAGAAAAAAGAAAAGGAGAGAGGAGAGGGGAGGAGCCAACAGGAGTCAATATTTTCTCAAATGACGATCAAAGATTCATCCACAATATGCAACATTGATCCTGAAGTCCAATTTTTTTCCCACCAGGCAATCCCCAGGCTACTATAATTCAGAAAGAGGAGGGCAAGCTGGCCATTCTTAACTTCCCATTGCTGACCCACCATCTCTCCAGGTTTAAGGGATGGGAAATCCTGTTTTTATCTTTTTTTACACGCAGCAATAAGCATTTTCCCCTTGAGTAGAAAGGTATTCCCAAATGAAGGACTTATTTATATATCCTATTTAGAAACCACCCATCTCCCTCATGGAGTGACGATTGTACTTATACCCCACTTGTATTAATTTTATAAATAACTCATGGCAATGAACATACCTAATATTCCTTCCTCCTCCTACTTTTCCTGACAACAACTACCCTGTGAGGTAGGTTGGGCTGAGAGAGCGTGACTGGCCCAAGTTCACCCAGCCAGCGTTCATGCCTAAGACAGGACTAGAACTCACAGTCCCAAAACACAACAGACCTAACTCAGTTCTTAAAGCATCTAATTCAGCAGTTCTCAACCTGTGGGTCGCGACTCCATTTGGGGTCGAACGACCATTTCACGGGGGTCGCCAAACAACGCAGTCCGCCATTTTTTTTACCCTTTTCCTTTCCCTCTTATTGGCTTTCGAAAGTGCCACAGGTGGCACGCAGAGCCGTTCTTGCCTCCCTCCTCTTTGCGCATGCGCAGCTTTTTCCTATATAAAAGGAAGTTTCGGTTTTGGTCCACGTGGCAGAAGCGAGACAGAGGACAAGCAGCAGAAAGCGAGAGAGAAGAAGTAAAAGCGGTAAGTTTTGTCTCTGTCCTGCCGCTGAGCTTCCTCTGCTTGGCCACCAGACACCCCAGCGGCCCCAGAACACCCTGCCCGCATTTCCTTCCATTTTTTTTAGCCGGCCCAGTGGCTAAAAAACACCCCGCGGCCGCCGGCACTTCTTGTAATTTTGCAGCCGGCCTCCCCCTTCACCAGTCTCTCCGGCCGCCTCTTCTCTGTTCCTTCCGCCCTG